AGGTAATGGGGAGCGGCCTATCAGATCCAGCAGCACGTTACCGGTGCCAGCTCCGAGCAGCGCGCCGCCGACACCCACACGGCTGGCGGGACTGGGCACCAACGTGGACGGAGAGGAGAGGGGCGACCTGATCCAGTTCTACAACACTGTAAGGAACTCATACCACAGTTCTACTATAAATAATGGTGTTGTTGCATAGCTAACATGAAGTTTGCGAATTTTTCAGTAACACATCATGTAAAGCTAGTTGTTTGGTCAATAGAAGTGTTAATAATCTGTTTTCTGCTGTTTTCCAGATCTTTGTGACAAAACTTAAGAGCTACGTCAGAAAGTTCTCTCCCACTGGGGACCACAAGGTGGGTTTAGAAAAAAAAACCTTGCAGTGCTTCTGTAATACCTTTTCAACAGAATAGACTAGAATTTAGAATGAATACTATATTTCCACCCTCAAAATTTAGTTTCTTGTTAGTTAATGTCTTTAACTTAAGTTTAAGTAGAAATCAACTGTGTGATCTTTCAGCTGGGTACAAAAAGGAGTTACGTTGCCATGTGTAGTTCTGCAAGTTGAATGTTGTTGTGTGTCTGCAGGCGGACTCTACCGTCCCCCCGTTGTCTCCCATTCCACTGCCGCGCACACACCTGCAGTCCCCCAGGAGAGTCTCTGTCAGACATCCCATCTACATCTCCCCCCACAAAAATGGTAGGAACTTCTGTGAGTGCTGATTTTTTTTCTTCCTTTGTTTGGGTGACGTGAAAGAAGGGGGTGCTGGTTTCAAAGGGAGTTACATGGAGATATGTCAAAGTTTGTGTTTGCATGCAGGGCTATTGTTATGGTGTCAATTATGTGGTAGATTGTGCCCCTTCAAGAGATATTGCATGGAATGCTTGGTAGGCCATTTTTGCAGTGATATGCAATATGCATTTTACTACATTGAAAAAGTGAATTTTGAAAATGGCTGTCCGATTTGTTCGATACCATGTATATAAGTGTTGGATCAGTCAGAACTTTACGAATCTTGTCTGAAAGTTGTGTTTCTTGTTTCCAGGGAGACCATTGACCCCCACCAGTGCAATGCTGTACTGTTTTGGGAAAAGTCCTGCAAAGGTACGTGTGATATTTCAGCTTCAGTTTGGTTTCGTGTGTTTGGTTTGTCCTACAGCTCTTTTTAACAATACACTCTGGAGGCATACTAATTTTTAAGACCACTAATACCACTATTCATCAACACACCAGAATAGCTGACCTCAGAAGGTGGATTGAGGCTAAAGATAAGAATTTTGTTGAAAATCAACACTGAATGTCATAGAGGTAAAGAATTAAGGGTGCATATTCCCTTTAGAGTACACTTAAACATAGCAACACTGCTACAGAAGAATTAGAACCTGTGAACTTAACAGTATTTTCCCCGGGACAAGTAAAAGTTGACTCTGTTTCCTATCTGCAGAATCTTCAGGATATCACCAGCATGATCAAGTCCGGGGAGCAGCCCACCAAGAAGAGAGCGCTCAACTACGACACAAATGAGAACCCCGCCAAGCGACTCTGCTCCGCGGGCAGCGACAGAACGTTGTTCCAGAAACTTAAGGATATAGACACGGTGCGACAGGCAGCTAACGCCAACCAATAGACAAAGTGTATTTTTGTAAGACATACCTGTAAAACGGACAAAAGTGTGGTGTTTTTGTCTTTAAGTCTTTTTTTCTGTGTATAACAAACAATCTTTGGAGAATCATAGCCTCTAAATCAGACTTCCAATGTGCAACATTTCCTTAGCTTTTGCAAGTAAGCATGTCTACAACTGTGAGTTAACTTTTAAGCATAGACTGGAGGAAGGGGGCTAGAATGTAACGATGTTAGAAATGGAAGGGTAACAAAAACTGCAGCACCACTGTGGAAAAAAAGGGCAGGCTATTTATACTAATAGAGGAGTGGCTTATTTATGATGTATTTTTCCATGTATTTATGTGATGGTTAGATGAACACTATCAACTATTGGAGGATCTCATGGGGGTGTGTATGTAGGTTAACAGGAGTTTGCCACTTTGATGTACACTAAAGGAGCATCTGGAGTAGTGACAATTGTGACAGTTGTGATTTCTATGAAGACATAGAACCCCAGTGTGCCCTCTCAAATTAACAGCAAAAGGAAAGAAAAACAATCATGGTTTCTTGTAACAGGTAATATGCATTTAAACAGAAACAGATGAAGTGTCTTGGTATGAGGGGGTAAACTCTGTGCATGTTTGGATACAGTATACCAGAGGATGTATTTTTGACAAACCTTCGCTGAGATGTGAAGACAAGTACGGAATGGCAATTTTTCCTGCCCGATTTTAACCTTTGTTTACTGTTGAGGTAGTGTTTGTAGTGTTTTTGTAAGCTCTTGTTTTCTTATGGGAGAACTTTCCAGTCAAGTCAAATAGCCCTTTTCCCCCTTGTTATGACGACAATGCTGTGGTTGAGGAATGATGCCTTCCATTTGTATTTGTTGTTCAACCCCTAACAAGAGTTAGAGGGTAAAAACTTCAGTAAGAATGGAGGTGTTGTTAGTAGTACTAGAGACTGGAGCTAGAACACAACACTGTTATGATTTGCTTATAAGTTGCAACAGCCATTTTGTGTGTGATCTATTAATTAATTTTGTCTGCAAAGCTTCTTCCCCTAATAGCATTTCATGGTCTTTTGTCTTTGTAATGTATTGTGATGTCTTAATTTTAATTTGGTAATTACCTAGAACCTTTTCCTTTGTTGCACTTAGACCAATGTTTTAGAACAATTTATTTTAGAGTTTTATAACCAATTGCATATGAATTTGCTGTCTCAAAAGGTTTCAACCTTCTTGTGTACAGGAATCTTAAAAAGATTTGGACCAAATATGGTTGTAGAATGGCCATTTGCTTCGACAGGGAAGTAAAAAAAAGGAAACATTATGTTTCTTGTAAACATTTGCTTGTAAAAAGATGTAGGAAAAAATCAAGCAATGTACATTTACTAGTAATGTACTAGTGACTTGACTTTTGCAGTAAATTTGACCAGAAATTTTCCAGAGATTGTTGTCAGTATTATTGTTTGTTGTCAGAGCTGACTGAATGAAAGTTAGTATTATTGTCTTTGATAGTTTGTTATAGAGGTGTGCATCAGTATTCCTGAAAGAAAGATGGCTTTCCTCCACACTCCTACGTTCGATGGTCAATCCTACTTCGGGCTACTGCTCTTGTGCAAGTCCCCTTATTACCTCCGGGGAAGGAGACATCCTTCTGTGGAAGGGTATTAGAATGGTTTGGGATTTTTATTTTCGCAGCTGTTTCTCGCGTTGGGGTGGACAGATTTTTTGGGGACTTGGTATTTGTTTTGCTATTGGGCTGTAGATGATGCACATTCTTTTGCTTTTATTGTATGTGTTTTCGGGCGTGAAAATTAAGACTTTTGGCGGCACACGAAAACCCCTTTGACCCTGAAAATGGTCGCGCGCATTGACCTTTGGTGTGTTTAAGGTATTATCAGTTTGGTCCACTTTCCTTACACTTTGAACAGAGGGGTGTCCAGTTTTGATAAATTCTCTGTTTAAAAATATGCGCCAAAACGCCGTTTTCCATGGCTGCATAGCCAGATTTAGTGAAAATATGCACAGTTCAAAGAACCTTTAGTGAAAATATATATATTCCTTTGCGGATTTATGGTGTCTTTTGAGCTCGATCGAACCCGGGAGTGTTAATACGGGGGCATGGTACTAGTGTCTGTAGTAACGGTAGTGAGTCACAAGTATGCAATTGAGTATTATGCATTAACGTTTGCATACGTGCGTATATTTACTACAACTTCTTGTAAACCCTTGTATATTTGATGTACTATAAGCAGCAAGCTTCTGTATGGAACATTTCGGATCCCAGTCACTCTGTCTCCATTCATATGATATAGACACTGAAAATTCACAAATTGATTCCCTTCGTATATTGCAGTCGGTGTGTTAATATTCAGTTTCCTGTCATGAAGAAAAGACCAGGTTCAAACTAAAGCTATCCCTTTCCTTGGTGCTGAAAAACAAATTAAATTGGTGTGGCCTAATGCTTATATTTAGCCATAAGTTTGCCATCTTGAGGCTTTGAGTGTATGGAACCCTCTGTGGAAGCACTCTAAAAGTTATTTTGTTCTTGTTTTAGATAGCTATAACATTCTAGGTGATATTTTCATGCCTTTCTGTTATCCATCCTGGTCCATCTCTTATAGTGAAGTAATGAGTTGATCAAACTCTGTCTTTTGCTGTCACTTGGATTGGCCAGGTACACTAAGACAAACACACGCGGCTGTACAGAAGCGCCACCCTGCACATTGATTCATCACAACAGTTGCCCCAAGATGGCATGATCAGCACCATGGTCATAGCCTATATCATTCTCTCAGTGGGATCCTGAGCAAACATCATTTATTGTTTTGTACAAGCTTCAATGATAACTTCCTGATGTGATGTGCAGACTACATTTCAGGTGGGCACTGTTCCATAACTTTAGCATAGAGTGTATAAGTAAGAATCCAGGGGGATATCCCTATTCTGGTAGGGGCCTTTAGAATAGTAGCATTAGTATTATATCTCAAAATAGCTTAACAGCGAGATTTGAAGGGATTGAGTGAATTAATATATTAATACTTCGTCACACAGGAAAAACGACAGGCAAGTTTATTTCTGCTTACAACATGTACTTTATTCAGTGTGTTAAAGAAAGTGCACACTCCCAAATTCGCACCAAGTCACCGCCTGAAAACGGCAGTTCCATTTTGCTAAAACTTTGATGGTTTGTGAACATGAAGCTATGACCTAAGGACAGGTATAAAACGCAGGATATGAAAATAAAAAGGGTAAAATTTTCGGTAGTGATGACTATTCTGAGACATTTTGTACAGTAACAACACGTGGAGAAAGCTAAAGCATCAGGCTACGTTCCTTAGAGGAAGTTCTTACTGGAAATTGCTGTTGAAAGAAGACTCGTCACTCTCCTGGGAGCTACGGCTGCGAGAATTCCAGCGCGTATTCTCGTTGGACGTTGGAGCGGGATCCGGACTCGCTGTGGTGGGTACATGGCATACAGTTATACACTGCATGATTTCTTTTAAACTTATCTCATACAACAAAGTTTTGGAGACGTTGAACATTTAGAATTGGTTTGTCATATTAAAGAACTGTTGTGGGTAGCATTCAACAACAGCTGTTACTGAAATCATTCCGTGACACGTTTGCATTATATATAAACAGGTGTAAGAAATAATAACTGATGTTTCCAGCATTAGTGTTTGAGAATATAATATTTGGTCTCAAGCAAAGGTGGAACTTTAGATGCTTTACCTGCTGCCGTAACGGAAGATGTCGGAGGTCCTGCGGGAGTCCACGCACTGGTGGGCGGGGCACACGCAGTCCTGGGGAACCTCGATACCGGCGGTGAAGTGAGTCTGGTCACGGTCGGTCTTGGCTGCATGGAGAGTCAGGAGGAGGTTAGTGTATTGCTTCAAACAACTTGCTTTTTCAAGGTATTTTCTGTGGTCTTTGTTCAGTACAGGTGATGGGTTCAACAAGAAAGAGGCCGAGCAAAGTTATGCTACAATTTACTTTGATATCTCTTCAATTCTGAAAGTTAGTGAGAAAAGGAAGCCGGGTGGACGGAAGCCACGCTTACCACTGAGGTGGGGGCAGTTGAAGGAGACCTTCTGGAAGGTCTCGTCGACACCCTTGCAGGGGCGCTCGCACTGCAGGAACTTCTGGGTAGAGTAGCAGGCGCCGTTACGGTGAGACTGCCGGATGCGGGTCATCACACCCTGGCATTCTGGTGAAGAAAAAGCATGGCATGATTGAAACGTTCGAACTAACCATATGAACAGAAAATATCGTACAGTACCAGCATTGACACCAACTAAAACCCGACAGCACCCATAATGTATCGGTATTTTTCCTTTAGGGTAGTGGTGAGTGAGAGGTTGACACTTACTGCAGTTCTGGCAAGGACGGCTCTCGACGAAAGTCTGGCACTGCTGGCTCTGCTCCTCCTGAGAGGACCACAGGGTCTTCCTGTCCTGCTGCTGCTGGGTACGGGAAGCCTGAGGATCGCAGGCCACAGAGACGCGGCGGGTCTGCTCACCCTGGCTGCACTGCCTGTCGGACTGGCACTCAGACCAGAGGCTCTGCTGGACCAGAACACAGCCTGGGAAAATTGAGAGGCGTTAGGAGGTTATACGTTAGGAATACGGTCTGTAAAGTGTCGTGAAATGACAATGATATTGGAAGTTTATTTTGTCTCTACATACAATTGATCATGCGCTAAAGCTAGGTGGATATACCATTAGGACAACTTACCAGGCTGGACCTGGGGCTGCTGCCTGGGCAGGCTGCGGACGATCTGCAGGAAGGTGTTGGTCAGGGTGTTCTGCTGCTGACGCTGGACGCGCTGCTGCTCACGCTGCTGCTGCTGGCGCTGGATCTGCTGGATCTGCTGCTGGAACTGCTGCACCTGCTGCTGCACCTGCTGCTGCTGCTGCTGGCGCTGCTGCCTCACACGGATGCGGTCCTGGTTAACATATGAAAGAGTTTTTTGCGTAAGCGCAAATGTCTAATTGATACTTTTGAATTAAAGCGCAAAACGGCATACTTAGGATAAATTCTAAGGAAAATTTTGACAGCCTTCGTAAGAAAATACTCAGAAAAACTTTGACAGGATCCTTAGGAAAATTCTCAGGAAAAATTTGTCACCTCAGGGGTGCGGTTGATGTCACGCTCCTGCTGCTGCAGCTGCTGCAGGGTCTCCTGCTGCTGGTCCTCGTACTCCTGCTGCTGGCGCCTGATCTGCCTGATCTGCTGCTGGGTCTCCTGCTGCTCACGGATCTGCTGCTCCTGCTCGCGCCTCTCGGACTGCTGGCGCTGCTGGCGGGACTGCCACTGCTGCTGCTGGCCCTGGGAGGTCTGGAAGGTGGCCTCGGGCTGGCTGCTGCTGGTCTGGCGCTGGACAGTCAGGGTCTGGCGCCTGGTCTCCTCACCCTGGAACCCACTCTCGATCTGGACACGGACCTCATTCTGGCGCTGGGACTCGAAGCTGAGCAAATTCATAAATCGGATCGTTAATAATACGAATTGTGTTGTGTTGCTACCGTTTTTACTTTAAATAACAAAGCAATTAACAAATCATCTATATCTCTAATATTGGTCCAATCCAATTCCAGGGTTAGTATGATTGTTTTGTGAGGTTCTGTACCTGATCTGGATGGGCCTGGGCTGGTTCTGCTGCTGGCTCTGCTGCTGGCTCTGCTGCTGGCTGCGGACGATCCAGCTGTTCTGAGTCTGAGAGGTGGTCAGGAAGTTGGGGTTCTGCTGCTGCTGCTGGGTCTGCTGGTACTGCTGCTGCTGGCGGCTCTGCTTCTGGCCCTGCTGCTGCTGCTGCTGGCGCAGCTGCTGCTGCTGGCGCTGCTGCTGCTGGGTAAGGACGCCATTGAAGCTGACGCACTGCTCAATACCGGACACGAACTGGACGGGAGTGCACTGCACCTGTGTCGGTGGAAGACAACGTTGTAGTTGGCCGTTTCGAACAAGACAAAACGTTGTTCCCTCTGCTCTTAATCATCATCCGTTGTGTTACTTTGTAGCCCAAAAGGACGGAAAATACAAGTTTGTTTACCTGCTGCTGCTGCTGCTGCTGCTGCCTGCTGCTGCTGCTGCTCGGTGGTCAGAGGCCTGGTCTGGGTCTGCTGCTGGCTGGAGCCCTGGCCCTTGGTGACCAGGCGGCGCTGGAAGGTCTGCACGTTCACACTGAAGATTCAAGATAAAACTATTGAATCACATTTGTATGTGAAAAAATCTTGGGATTGTTTCCCTGGAAGCTCATTCTTTACACACACTGACTAAACTAGTGGAGCTAGACTTATGTACAAATCGTAACAAAAGTACAATCACGAAGGCTAACGCAAAGGTTTTCCACAAATATAGTTGTGGACGTACCGGGTGGACATGTTGAGCTGCTGGTACAGGTCACGGGTGATGTTCAGCTGCAGGGGCCAGTCCTGGATGGACACGGTGGCGTTGTTGGTGCCAATACGCCACTGGCTCTGGGCAACGATACCGGACTGCTGGGTGTAGGCATCGACAGAGACCTGGGCACGCTCCAGCATGCTCAGCCTAAGCAGGGCAACAGAGAAACGTCCGTTAATACAATGAGACATGCTCTTACAATTACGTTTGACATACCATGTGCACCAGTTGCGAATGAATTATGTACATTAAAGGAAAAGACAAGCTACTGTCTGTATTATCCCTACGCAAACCGTATCTGCGACACCGTTGCTGCATGATACGAGATACGTAATACGGCTTCTCACCTGCCGTTGACGGTGGCCTGGATGTTCCTGCGGACAGCGTTCATGCGCACGCGGGTGTTGGCGTTGACGGTGGAGGCGACCTCATAGCTCATGCGGAGGGGCAGACCCATGGAGGTGGGGATGGAGGTACGGCAGTCGTCCTGGGTGGTAGCCTGGCGGATCTGCAGGCCCTGGCCGCGGGTCAGGTTGCGGATCATCTGGGCAAGACCTGTGGTGCGCACGGTGGGTATAAGATGTTACCTTTTGTTTGAATTCATTCATTATACATGGGATTGGATTCCATATCTTGGTAGATCCCATCTGTGTAAGAGCTAACGTCACATCATTAGATGAAAATCTGAAACCTTACATCTAACTCCTAAGTCTCTTCTGTATCAAATACCAACTTCGGGACTTACCAGTGGTGTTCTGGGTGGAGAAGGTGGTCTCGTGGCCGTTGACGACGACGTAGTAGGTCAGCTGAGGGGTGACGATCTGCTGGCGGCGCTGCTGCTGCTGCTCCTGGCACTTGCGGTCCTCCTGGAAGAGTACAGTTACCACGATTAACAAGATCCAATGGTTGGAAGGATGGCGAAACAAAACTCAGGAGTATCACGTTGCTCCTGGTTCAAGGTATGCTACAGTTGTAGCTTCTAGTAGTGAAATCGTACTGTCCTTTGCATATGTATGGAATCAGAATTATGCTGGAATCAGAATTATGCTGGATATGTATATGAGATTCCTACCGTGGTCTGCTGCTGGTACTGGGGACGCTGGGTGCGCTCCTGGCTGCGGCTCTGGCTGCGGCCCTGGCTGCGCTCCTGGCTGCGGCCCTGGCTGCGGCCCTGGCTGCGCTCCTGGCTGCGCTCCTGGCTCTCGGTCTCCAGAATGCTCCACTCCTCCATGATCCTGCAAGTCACAGAAATGACGCGATACGATCAAATTTAACACGATCAATTACCTTCGAAATGCGACATTTAAACTACGCTGTTTAGGTGCTATGGAATGTTAGAGCAGCTCATATTTGACTCTCTGACAATGAATGTAGCTAGCGATGCCTATTTACCAGTCACGGTTCTGCTGCTGCTGGCGGCGCTCCTCGCTGGTGGATGGGCGGTTCTGGCTGCGCTCACGCTGCTGCTGGCGGCGCACGGCGCTGAAGTAAGTCTCCAGACCCTCGTGGCGGACACCGAACTGGGCGGAATTACACATGAGAATAATGTTAGGTCGTGGGCTGATTAAGAGTATGTGTAAGAGCCGTATACATCCTGTTAGTCTCGGGTATACTTTTTGGAAATGTCCATGTTGCACACGTACAGAACCTTTCATCATCTTTATCCACAAGCAAGACAAGGGCTTACCTCGAAGACGTTGTAGTTGTAGCCAGTGTTGTGCTTCTGGATGTTGACCATGACGGAGCGGGGGATGGGGCTCTGGTCGGTGAACAGGATGTGAGAGTCCACGAAGTGAGACATGCGCCTGGAACCGGCAGTGCCTGTGTGTGCGATACATCCAATCAGTGACGATGGCCTTCAACTTTGATAATCTATACTCGACATTGGAGTTATGTTATGTTATGATACAAATATAATTGATTTTTTTGCATTAACTGGTGATAAAGGAGAATCCAATGCCTAGAGGATTGGCTGAGGATTAAACATGGACTTACTGTTGTAGCCAGTATCGTACATGATGGCCCTGGAGCCGTTGAACTGCTGAGAGAACTCAGAGACGGTCTGGTTGGCGATCATCTCAAGAGTCTGCTGGGCGATGCGAGACCTTCGAAGTGGATAAAACATAGAACAACATTTTGTCACAAACAAGATACAACATGAGTGTAATGGAAACTACTTTCATGTCTTTCATTACTAGTGAAATTCACACTGTACTAATTGAGATCCTTAACAAACAATACGTCCTGGTCAGTTGTTTCTTGGAGTATCAGACTCAAATTTGTGTCAATACAATATCTAGTCAAAACCAGATGATACAAATGCGATGGGAGTACTCACTGCTGCTGGGTCTGGGGGTTGGTGCGGCCGTTCTGGGCCATCTGGGTCAGGTAGCTGGAGCAGAAGGAGGCGACCTGGGGGTCGGACTCGCGCTGCAGACGGGAGACGATGCGGTTGACACACTGCTGGGAGTTGCAGGTCTCCATCAGCAGGACGAAGGCGGCGGTACGGACCTCCACGCCGTTCTCCTGGGTGTTGAAAATCTGGGACAGCTGCTCCTGGTTCTGTAGATACAACACAAAACGGCATTACAATACATCAAGGCTGACGACATTCTAGAGCGAACGGATATGCTTTAATGGCATGTCCAATAAATCGTCCCGTCTATACTTTCCCCGATAATGGGTAGGAAAACACTTCAGGCTAAAGGGAATTCCCATTTACAAACCGAATGTACTGTTAAATGCAGTGATACCTGCTGAGTGATCTGCTGCCTGTCGACCCTCCACATAGCGTAGATGGCGACCTGGCGGGTGCCGTTGCTCCTCTGGGTGTTGCGGGCGACCTGCATCAGCTGGGGGATGGTGGAGGGCAGACCGGCGTTGCCGATAGCCTTCAGGGCGATCTGGACCTCGCGCTCGGAGCCGGTCTGCTGGCCACGCTGCAGCTCAGAGACCAGGACGTGACGGGCCTGACGGACCTCAGTCTGTTGGGAGGAACACAGCATCGACGTCAGAAATAAGTTGTAACTGTGTTTTAAAAACATAGTAGCCCAGGAATTCATAGCGGTTGGCAAGGAGTATCTTTGGAATCATTACCTATCGAAATTGCACATAACCAATGCTAGTATAACTTACGGGGGCGGCATTCTCGTTGACGTTGTTCTGGGTGGTGTAGGTGTTGACCAGGGAGCCGAGGGTCAGAAGAGCCTGCTCACGGACCTGCTGGGACTGGGAGCGCTGGCGGAGGATGAACTGAAATACAAGAATGCGATAGGAAAAATGAAAATGTGACGATAGAAAGTACACGGAGACAATAGTGTAATGATGGTTTGTCTTTGTCTAATTCACATTTTTCTAACTATGATATATCTGGACACATTTGGATGTCTGATTGAAGTTTGAGAGTGGTGAACATTACTCACCAGAATGCCGTCCAGGTTCTGGCGGATGGGGCGCTGGAGCATAGCGATGCCGCGGAGGAAGTTCTGGGCCTGCTGCTCGCTGACCTCACCGGTCTGGATCTGCTCGGTCATCAGCTGGACACCAGCCTGGGTGCTGACGTGGGACAGAGCCTGCTGGATGGGCTGGCGGAACTGCTCCTGCTGCACGAAGTCGGTGTAGACCTTGCGCAGAGTGTTCTGGCTGCACTCACGGAGGGTGCGGACGATGTTGAGGAGAGCCAGGGTCTGCTGCTGCTCCTGCTGCTCCTGCTCCTGCTCGAAACGCTGCTGCTGCTGCTGGAGCTGCTGGAGCTGCTGCTGCTGCTCCTGGCTGCGGGACTGGCTCCTGACCTCCTGCTGGCGGCGCTCGTTCTCCTGCTGGCGCTGCTGGATGCCCTGCTGGGCCTGCTGGGACTGGGTCCACTGCTGCAGCTGCTCCTGAACCTGCAAAGTGAACATGTGGCGATGAGAAAATGTAGAAAGGCACAGTGCTTATATTTATGCAAACACGAATCTCTCTTCGTGTACAGATTGTTGTTCTATGGAAATAGAAAGTCTGCGTACCTCCTGGCGGGTCTCGGTGGTCTGGCTACGGCGGGTGATGTTCCTGCGGATCTCCTGCTGGTCCTGGATGGGCTGGAAGACCAGGCTGGTGGTGGGGCGCTGCTGCAGATCTGCACAGATGAAATACCATCACGTATCAGTGTCAAATGCTATGCGAAAAATACAAATGAAAAATAACTACGCTGAGTTTGTATAGTAAATGGGATCTCTATGTAGATACTTACCGGCGGGGCGGAGGTTGCTGTCTCCCTCGCTGACACGCCTCAGACGCAGGGTCTGCCTGTCGTAAGAAAGTTGACAAACGTCAGAAGCATCGCAGGGCAAAACCGATGGCTCATTATCTGTCATTCGTAGCCATCCCGATCACACGTACATTGATGGGCAAACATGTCACGAGAATGAAGTATGAAACTGGCCAGGCAAGCTTTTAACATCTTGACCTGAGATTTGTGACTGTTACTTACTGGATGTTGGTGGTGACGGCACCGGTCTGCTGGTTCTGCTGGCCGGTCTGCTGGCTCTGCTCGCGGGTCTGCTGGCTCTGCTGGTTGTACAGAGAGATGACGTGCTGCTCGCGGGTCTGGACCTGGGACACGATGAAGTTCTGCTGCTGCTGCTGCTGGGAGGAGCGGGTCTCCTGGCTGCCGCTGCGCTTGTTGATGTTCAGGTTGGACAGGGTGACGTTGGTCTGGGAGGTGGAGTTCCTCAGGTCCTCCTAGAGGGCGCAACACGTAAGTGTATTATCAGTAACTGTCCCAAACGTTTCTCAATGTCGGACTAACATGTCAATGTCGGACTAACACGTATGTCAACTTTAGGTACGTGAAAACAATTCTGCATTGGTCCCAGTAGTCTTCTACATGCTTAGTTGCTTTTGATGTTTATAAAAAAATCAATAAGGATATTGCTTTGTCTGTATGATGTGAAAAGTAGAAACTCACGGTGTTGGGAGACCTGTTGCCGAACAGAGTGCAGTTAGAGATGACGGCACGCTGAGAGCACTGGCTGAAGTCACGGGAGCGGCGGATCTGCATCTCGTCCTGCTCGCCGTCGGCGCGCACGGTGTAGTTCACACGGCAGTCCCCAACAACATCGGTCTGGGGAAGGCAGGAGACTTATAAATACATGTACACAAGAATAAGGCAAGAAAAGACTTGCAAACATATACATTCACAGACATTTTGGAAATCATTGCAAAATGCCAGCACGTGCACTGCGACTACATACAAAAGATGTGGGGTCGTGTGGCGTAACGACAGAACGTTCGGCTCGGAACTAAGTGTCTGCTTGAGAATGCCGTAGCCATGTTTTGTGATAAATGTTGGAATAAAAAAAACATACAAAAGCTACACCGGTAAAACTGACTAAAGAGAGCACCAACCTCCTGGACAGAGTAGTTGCCCTGGCGCTGGATGAGGTTGAAGTTGAACTGGGACAGGATACCACGCTTGATGTTCAGCACCCACTGCTGCTCGTCCTGGCTGGGGCGGATGTCCTGCACACGGCCGCTCTGGTAGCGGAACCACACGGCGTTCTGCTGCAGGTCGCGGGCGAAGTCGTTGGAGTTGGGAGACCTCTGCCACTGGACCTGGTTGGGCTCGCCGGTGTTGGACTCGTACAGGCGCACGTCCATCAGCTACAGGAGGAAGGCAAACAAAGTTGAGTCGTGTGGCGGCGGCGTAACGGTAGAGTGTTCATCTCGGAACCAAGAGGTCCCGGGTTCGAACCTTGCCAGGCTTTAGGACCTTGGAAAATGCACTTTACACGAACTTTCTCACTGCATTGTATTTTATTGTATTGTCCTCTGTGTTGGTGGCGGCATAAGAAAAGGGAATATAAGTTGAAATTTAAAAACGTGAGTGTGCCGTCACCATGTCTAGTCATTACATGTTGGAATTTAAAAAAAAACGAAGTTGAGCCAAGCGCTTATCTCTTTTAGGCAACGAAATTTCAGAAAAGCAAAACATGCAAATGATCCTAGTACTAGTATTACAATCAAAGCTGCAGTTCTGTGTACATACGTCCATGCGGACTTGGCGGCCGGGCTGGACGGACAGCACGACATCAGCGCGGATGCGCACGCCGGACTGGCTGCTGTTCTGGGGGGTCTGGGTGCCGGTCAGGGCCTCGGACTCATAACGGTACTCGTAGTGACGGAATTCGCGGAATCCGGTCAGGAGGTCTTGTGGAAAAAAAGAGGCATTGTCATCAGTAAGAGCCTTTTCTGCCTTGCGCATATAAAGTACTGAGTGGAAAAATAAACGCATGCAAGATGATAAGATTCAAAGTACAAATCAACTTTCTCTTGTCCCAACTGCACTTTGTTTGTCTACATTAAGGCGTTCATGAAATTTTAACGTAACCTTTTCCCCGTTATGCATTTGTAAAGCAATCTTATCACTATATTTTGTGTTCTAAACAAGAAACACTTTCGTTAACATTGGCTATAGGTAAAACTGTTTAAACAAAGTAGAAATGGACTGTATGGAAGAAAAACGGGTCAATTCTGTAAAACATACCGTGAAAAAGTCAATAATAACTTACCATTTTCTTGAGACTGCTCCTCGGTATGCGGAGCTGCGAATGCAGCCGCTACAAAACACAGCACCAACAGGGCGCGCATCTTGGCTCTATCAGCTTTTCTTGCCGGTTGATCAGCTCGAGAGAAAATTGCTGAAAGTAGTGACGAGCACCTTTCCTCTCCCCCTTTTTATACAGGTGCGGGGCCACAAAGAGCTGAGCCGTGATTGGCCCACGGGGTGGCAAGCCCTGGGCAAGACGCGGGCAGGACAATGGTGTTTGTCCATGGCCAAAGATCGAGAGGGCAATGGTAGGCGTGTGAGCGGTGTGAACAATGGACGGCCGCGTGTGGTAAACTGCTGACACCTCAGAACCGCAGACTCAACCAGTTTTAGCACTTACACAGTATAAAGCAATGTACGAAGCTAATTGAAATATGTTGAATCATGGAAAACGGCCAAGACAATAAGTATATATGCTTTTAAAGTGCATATTTGAATGTGTTGTGGTTAGTTGCTATACTAGTGTAAAGATTTGTGGTGCTACGTGAGGACAAGGTGTAGTGTAGCGGTCTATTTATAAACGATGCAATCATCTGTTTCTATGGATAAAAGTTTCGACACTAGACCCAAAGGTAAAAGTTCAGGCACGTACTAAGACGAGACATGGCTTATGTAAGACAAATATTGTTGATAAGTTGCTAGAAAAACTGTAAAAGTACACGGAGGCAAAATGGATCCATGGAATGCAGAAAAAGCAAAAATCAGTGCATGGTTTCTAGACCGGCATATTGTAAGATTCAAACGTCAGTAGTTTTTTTTTACATTCATAAACATGTGCAGCAGAACTTCGAAAGCAGACTTCACGTTCAATATTCAACTATCTATGAACAACAAACCATAGTGCAGGTGTATTCCTGTCATACGTAGAGCGTACGTATGTGGCGTGAATATTAGGGGGGTAAGTTGGTACATGTTACCAATATTCATCTGAGCTATGCGAGTATCATTCCCTGTTTGTATGAGGATTATTTGTTCAAATTCAAATTCCCCAATTCGTTAAAATACAATGTCTGGTAAACATGTCTCCGTAGTTAGAAGACAACTTTTTTTTTTCATAGTGAGTGTTGGTCATATTGACAGCACAGTTTTCCCAGGCTCTTGAGTTAATGTTATTTCTTTGCCAACACTGCTATCAATTTGTTATTTACCGGAGGCAAGCTATTAGTTTGGTCTTATCTCACAGTCTTTAAATGGCACCAGGGAAGACATGGCTCAGATAGAAGGACGAATTTATCATCATTGACACCTTTATTGCTTGTGTGCACGTGCAGCAGATGAGTGATGCTGCCATACTGTACAGCATTTTTCTCTATTCCAAAATTTATTACAAGACATAGCGGCTCAAGTCAAGTTTTTTCAACTTTTTTTATGCTCCCACCAACGCAGACAAACGCATAAACGGAAAACAGACATATTCATCTGAGTTAAGTGAGGAAATTTGTGTTAAGTGCCTTTCCGAAGGGCACAAGAGCGGTGGCATGGCAGGATTCGAACTCGGGACCTCTTGGTTCCGAGCCGAACACTCTGTCGTTTAATATGCCACATGACCCCACTGTACACCATTGCATGTGCTACTCTCAAACTGATGCGTGCTCGTACAATGGTACATACATAGTTGTTCATTTACGTGCATGTATTTGCAGTGCAGAATCCTGCGGTCAAACGTTTCGACTGTTGATGATGATGTACGTGCGGTTTAGTACCTCAGGAATGTGTTTCAAACCACAAAAACAACCATACACAAACATGTCCGCGCTCCGGCTAGCGACCGTCGGCGCAAGTCCCGTTCAATGACCACGCTCACGTACAGTCATCATTTGCTATTCTGCGGTTTAGGAAGTATGTTGGTAAGGTCATACCGGGAAAGATGCCAAGAAATACGTACACAGTACAACGTTAACACTTGTCAGGTCTGACCTTTAACTTGATAATCCGGTTGTTGTAGTGTTAAAAACAGGTACACATACATCCTGACATGGAGCCTTATAAACACTTGCAGAGCCACAAGGTATTTTGTCTAAGCGAGTCGCGGTTTGATGGGTCAAGATGCAGTACCTCAAGTCATTACGGTACCGCTATCAAACAAAAAGTGCTGTTCTTAATGATGATGATCTTTTGTGATGATCTTTTGTGGAACGATAATTTCATGACATGGCACTTGCGTATACACCTGAACATAAAAGCCATTTTAGAAAGTATTTCGGAACGCATTGGAAATATACTTTCCATCTGTGTACCTGAGGGCTCTATCTTCAGTGTTCTCAATGTTACATAATCTTAACTTACGCCTCAGTGCAAACAACAGTCGGTTTGCCTGCGGTCCTACTCTTACATAACCGCTATATGAAGCGGGCTGTCACGTCAGCTGCCGCGACGCACGTGCTGTTACTATCTGTACTTTTTATGGCTTGATAACCGGGCACGCGGGGCGTGTTTTATTGAACGGTGTGACGGTTTTGGTCGTAAACAACTGCATTGTGCTCTGAGAGCATGATGCAAGACCACGCTAACGGACCAAAGGTCTTAACGGGAACTTCCCAATAGGACAGTCTATTTGTGTAGTGTACACATTTAGCCAGATTTTGTCTCATGTTTTTTTTTCTTATCAGTTCAGGCGAGACTTGATGGCCCTTGAGCCAGGTAAATGCTGGGTATTTCTGTGGGTTTGCGGTATGCCGGGTCAGCACAGCGGTTAGGTCAACATTGTCATATCGGCGGTGGCGTGATCCCGCCTTCAGATTTTTCCACCACTAGATAAATAACAAGTTACTGGCCGTCACGACCGTGGTTTATAAATCAGATTAGGTCCAACAATTGAAGGTAAAAATGTCAGGGCATAACTTCTTGGAGACTAATATTTGTAAGTTCATAAATTGTACGACATGAGATAGCATTGGTGAGCTGAAGTGTTCAACGTTCAGTGAGAAACGGTCGGTGACTGTAGTACTGTTGCCCTACTCAAGCTTCAGTTGGAATGCTATATAGTCTATGATCCCTTCATCTGAAACAAACCTGGTAAAAGCTCCCAAGTCTGTTTCCAAATGTGGCCTGAAATTTTTGGACCATTGGCCAACCAGTACAACACTGCATGTGCGTACGTCGATTTGATATCAACTCGTTATTCAGACAGACAGTCACAATTGGCAGGTAATTTATTGGCATTTGACCGTAATGCTACAGAACGAGCTTAGTAAGTGAAAGTAGCTGCAGTAAATCTCGCTGAGTTTCTCTTGGATCTTGATGACCTGTCCGTATACGTGAGATTTATTGAGCACTTGTGAGCTTGGTGTGATAGATTAAACTAGGCCAAAGTTGAGTCTTTGCAATGTATACTAATGACCATGATGAAATCTTTGTACACTACCCGTACTAAGCCTTACAAAGTTATCTGCAAGAAATAATGGGCACGAAATATACAAAAATCGTTAACTCGAGAACTCATAGTGATATATACTCCTTTAAAGAAAGACGACAGTTGAAGTGTTTGCAAGATTTTACCCTGCAAATAGAGACGGACGCCACAAACCAATCAAACGCTGTTGACATAACATGACAAGTAATAGTCACAGTATTTGAAAACTGTTACAAAATGTGCTGATACCAGACGAAAGTCAAGTTCTTCTTTGACAATGACGATTTCTAGTGTTTTTCTAGTTCGGTTCAGAACGAAGAAAAAAATTGCACACGTTGTCGTCTAGGGGTCAGACAAGGTGAGATGTCAGCCCGCGCAAACACGTTTTTTCTCAAAACAGCTGACTCAAAAATCGGGTGACTCAGACTGGGCAATAATCAACAGGGAGTGCCAGCTCTATATAAAGGTTAATGACCTGTCCCTTAATCTGTTACTCCCTATCCTTATATCTCCCACAAAATGTAACGAAAAATTCGTGTTAAGGGTTCTTAAAAAGAGTCTACTATAGAATTTTGCTCCATATCTGATTTTATAATTGTTAACGATTGCTACAGATGCTGATATGACTTATTCTTTCATTTACTCGAGACAAACTCATTCTTCTGAGGCCACTAGCCAATAAAGAGGGCAAGATTGCCACCCCCTCTAGAAAAAGATACATGTATTCAAAGGTCGATGACCTGACTCGTAAGCTGTACTCCACAAAAATTCAACGAAATATTTGTGTTAAGTGTTTTTAAAAACTGTGCCTTCCATCAAATCTTGGTCCATCCTTACTTTGATGACTGCAGATACTGATATACAGTAGGCATTCTCTGCAGTACCTACACAGATTAATTCTTTATTCAGGTCAAATGCATTTGACTGGCGCCACTAGAGTAGGCATGAATATCACCCCTCTAGAAAATGACATGAAAGAAATTTATTTGCATGTCTATATTCACATCAACGATTTGAATTAAAAAAGATAACATTTTGGCACATTTATAAAATACCTTGAATTCCCAACCTTTCAGAATGCTGCCAATGGCCATAGTATAAGAACAAAAGTTTAGATGTCTCCCAGTACACATATTAAACATGTAGAGACTTGTGCATGAACTTCACGTGAACCTTCGGTTCATGTAAGGCCAGGGTGGCCACAATGGCCAGACAAAAAGTCAACACAGCTCACACTGATAACCTTCACCAACAAATGTCTGGAACAATAGTCTGAAAAGTTGTTTTTGAAATACCTGGGTTGGCCAGCTAAAACAAGTATAGTTATGACTGTAGTTATTGTATGAACCTAAATTCATAGCATTTGAGATTCCAATTTAGTATGTAATGAAGAAAATACATGTGGTAGGGAAGGCATCTTTTGCTTATATGAATGGATATCGGTATTGTACATAGTTATAGTTTATATCAATCAATTATGTCTATAAATCCATGGTGCCTATTTCTCTTAAAGTCTTTGCAGGGGCCTTGAAACAAACTGTTACTTCAACACGTGCCTGATACACACATGCACCAGTGGGTAACTACTATCAGTTACATGTAGAGTGTTGTTCTGTTGCTGAAGCATACAAATGTAACTGTTATGCTGACAGAAGACTTTTTGACAGGGACACTCCAAAGTCAACACCATAAGCCAGACACGGCTAACCTATAGGTGCAAGGTGCATGCCACTTGTTTGTTTGTCTCAGCTCCAGACTAGCAGGAGAGTTGAACTGTTTGTGGAAGACATCTTGCTGATCCTCATTTGTTCAGCTCCCACCCACATATTTTACAGATGTAAAACCGCAGCCTCGTAAACATAAAACCTTTAAAACCTATCATGATGCATACTGGATATGTCAAATTTAAGTGGCTGCTGTTATACATGTACAGATATGTATGGTAACAGAGCTACATGTACCCATTTTTCCCATTCATTACTCTGCTTCCCAGTCTCTTCGTATGCATTGTGTGAGACCGAGTGTAGATAATTAAGTTTTAATTAATGGAGGTACCAATCCTATTTCTCAGCAACCTGCTATCTTATTATTTTTCCTGTTTATGGATGTTGACAATGGAGTTTTATGAGCCCCGACACAGCTAGATGGCAAAAGCCAAACCAGTATGTTCAATTTACTAAATTAGCATAATGAATCATGCATATGTTTTATCAACACACAGTGTTGAGCTGTTTTCCATAACCTTAGTATTGCAACAGAATGGTGGGATGTGAGAAAATCGATGATCAAGCAATATCTTTACCGGTATATTGAATCTTGTCAGTTTTGTTTGTTGGATGTCTGACCTGTGGCTAGCCACTTGATTGGCCAACAGACTATGGCAGGGAGATATTTGAACAATCATAGCATAATGCATGGGTGTCTACCCTTCACCCTTAATTGCTTATGAAGAAAACACACTGAATGAGTACATAATTGGGTACCGTATGGTTCTGTCTGTCCACCAAACTGGGTCTGTTAAACAGCACAGTTTACACAGTTAAGTGATTTGTATGAGGCCATGTTTGTCGATGGTTAGAGTTTGCAAAGTATGGCCTGATCATGTGAAGAAAGCAAATAAGTGCAACACTGACAAATACTTAAGACAGTTGAAACAGATGATACTCTGTAATATTGGAAACTTGGTCTTGGAAAGGTGGTCTTGTGGTTAGATTTGTGGACTCGAATCCCTGGCAGGCCTGTTGTGTCCTTGGGAAAGGCACTTTACACCTATTTCCTCACAGACTCAGGCGAAAATAAGTGCCAACTAGCTTTGGCAAGGGATGTACTCTCGATTGGATGTAAAGCCAGAGCTCCCATGTCTGCATTGCAATACCATGCCTAGACATGTACAGTGGAATGAGTGGATTATCAACCCCCTGCCACTACAGCCTAAAAGAGGCTAGAAGAGGCTACAGGACTACCTTAAGTTTATGCAGCAACCACACAGTCATGTTTGGCATTATTTTATTTCGTCTTTAGTAGTACAAAATGTACAAGTAGTTACAATTGTCCACTACTCCAAGCTTGGACTTTTTGGTCCCATTCTGAGGTTTCAAAAATACTGCTCTAATATACTTCAAAATATAGTACTGTACTCCTATCCTAAGAAGCCAACTTTTTCCCTTTTGCTGTTCTCTTCTTTCTCCAAGGCTTCTTTAAGCCTAGAATTCAGCACCACTCCCACTTTCTTACCAGACTGTAAAAGAAGAGCAAATATTTTAGCTTACACCATGTTAAACTAGATCTACAGGTACAATCTTGGGAGTAAACGAAGACAAACACAAACCCCTATCATTAGCATTTAAGTGGGTAAATTATATAATGAGAAATACAAACCTCTATCATCTCATAGATGCTCTCAGGGTCCAGACTCCCCGAGCCTTCCTTGTTGAGGCCAGCAATGGTTCCCTTCTGGGTGACTCCAACTGTGAGTCTGGCCAGGGAACACAGCTCTTCCTCCCAACTAGCATCCACTACATGTCTGTGGCCAATCTGTAGGGATATAAACACATAGTAACACAAGTAACAATACAAAAGCCACACGGTACTGTGTAACAAAATAAGGGCAAGATATCTCTGATCAAGGACTTGCTCTGATCTAGAAAAGCTTTCTTAGGCCCAGCATGTAAATTCTGTGGATGGTATCCACTGTAGACTCCAAATCTTAAGTGCAAAAGTGGAAAAAGGGCAAAAAGATGCTTAGATTTTCAAAATGGAGACCACAGATATTGTAACAAGGATTGAAGCAACAAAATAAGCCATCACAGCCATCAAGTCTTTTATTCCTGTATTCAAGAAGTAGAGACTGTGCCACTAGCATAACAGCCTAATTAACTACACTCAAGGTTATCTCACACTGGTGGAAATTAAGTATCATATAAAGAAGCACAGCAAAGTAAAAGGCGCCCATAGTGACTGTCTATACCTTGCTCAATGTGACAATAAGAGGTACATTGTCCACGTCCAGCCTTTTGACATCATATGGGTCATCTGACAGCTCAATCTCCTGTTGACCCTCATCATCTGCCGTCACTATCACTGTGGGAATTCTGGTACCACAAGAAAATTCACAGCATGAAACATTTAATACATGAAGGATAGGTACTGCAAATTTTTAGTGGTTTTATTTTAACTTACATGTACACCTCTCCACTGCAAATTCACGATACCATAAATATGCATCTCCAATGTATCACTACAGTACTACAGATTTGTTTCAATCTAACTTGAAATTAAGTCTCTGCAAAAATACATGTAAATGAATTTACAGTAGTAGCCTTCAACAACACCTCTTCTGAAATACCTGAATTGTCTCAACTCACCTTGTGTTATAGAGGGCAGCTTTGACAGCTAGAGATACAGCATCAAACAGGTTCCCTCCACACTCCAAAACCTGAGAGGTAAAGGGCCCCATTAATATATCAGTACATGTATCAGGAAAAACGTCTAGTGTATATAACATACCATTGTCTTAAGCAGTTAATATCTGTATACCTATAAAACTTTTATGGGAAAATCTAACATTCATGATTCACATTTTGCAAGTAACCATCTTTTATATACTTACAAATGTATTCTGTACCATTAGCTTCAGAACAGAAAATCCTAAAGCTAAGTTTTTGTCATCTAAAAACAACAGTCATTAGATAAAGGCTGACAACTGTCAATGCCAAAGAAATCAATCTCCGTTAGCTCACAGTCTGTTGTTATCAGCTTTTGTTAGTGCCACTGCACACTCTATGAAATTGTTCCTTAAAGGGGACTGCAGTACCTTCAAATACTGCTAGGAAGAGCAGCTGTACTAATTCTTACCAGGACATCCACAAAGAGGACCCAACACTGCCCTCCTGGTATGATGCACAGAGCAGTCAGATCCAGGGTACTTTTGCTGTTGAATATTCTTTGTAAAGCATTAGAGACCTCAATGGCTAGTTCTTCTCCTCCTCTTCCTTCAAACTCGGGTGAAGCATTGGCTGAACTGAAGAGAATAGAAATATCATATAAATGCAAAGGTGTATTTAATAACATTAACTTAATTTTTTAGTTAAGGAAAGACCATCCATCATTTGATGTCAATTGACTGTCAACAGAGTTGTATCTCTACACTTGACAAAGATGTCAAATTTTAATGACCATTTGTATCTATTGTGGGGACTAATCAGTTGAAAGAAAGATTCCAGCACACTTACCAATCTACAAAGAATTCTAGTTTTCCTTCTTTTGGTCTTCCTGGATCTGGCTCCCCCATCTCAGCTTTTACACCAACCAGAATATCTGTGTTACCCTGAAATAGAGAAACAAACATGGAACTACAAATCAATACTGTTAGAGTTACTCAGCACTTATGGTACAATGTTGCCAGCTAGCAGTGTAGGACCAAACTGCAGTAGCAAAGTACAAGTAGTGTCATGAGTAGTGTCATGTCTGAGAACTTGCTACATTGTATCTAGAAAATTACCATATTGTTTCAACATCACCTTTGCTTATGAAAGTTGATATATAAATGATTATAATATGTATGTACAAATGTATTTTCTGAAGCTATCACTAGTAGTAGTACAAGCTAACTGTCCATAGAATAAAAAGATAGATGACCCACCAGTCTGAGTCGAGCAGATCCGCTGGTGTTGGACACCACGTCAGTTTCCACCTCGACATGTCTGTAGTCTTCACAGGCACGGCCGTCAGACCGCAGGTCATCCTACACATGGGAGGACAGACAGCTTTAAGTTTAACAACTTCCAGATAACACTGGTTCCTGATTTTTCTCATGTAATTTTCAAAAGAAGCACCATGTTTGAAACTTTATATCACAATTTAAGTAAACTTTCTACTTGATGGACATGCACCATTTAAAGAGCATTAGATTATATACATTGTATAAGTCATATAAAATATTATAGTTTTTTTAGCCTGGGTGCTAATATATATGTATGCTGGGGCTAACATACTCGTTCCCCTTTTAGGGTGGATGGCACCTAGGCCTAGCCGCGGCGACTGTTATGGCACCCAGCGTAATACATGTAACGTTAATTTGTTATTTTTGTATAGCCCCACTAAACAACAAACGCATGTCACCTGGATTATTGGAGCCTAGAATGTCTAGATACTACAGTAACAGCAAGTAACCAGCATGGTATGAATATGACAAGTAACTGTACATGGAAAACTTCATATGATAATTCTTATGAGTGAAGATGCAAGCCTGCGGAAGCCGCCATCTGCCCCCCCCCCCCTTCGTACATTTCTAACGACAACCACGTTTACACCGATAACCAATCATAGTCGTGTATACTGTCATAATTTCCGCACGGTTATAGCCAGCCTTACCTGTACTCCGTGGACAATAAACAGCCTTTCCGCGTCGCTCAGAACTCCTAACGTGGAAGACATGCTTCCTCAGCTCCGGACAACACAATGTGTACTACGTCATCCGTTCTTGTGTACCCACATATTTGGTGACGTAACACGTCGTGTGCGGAAGGGGGGAGTCAGCTGGTGAATTTTGCCAATTTTACGCGGAATTTCTCACGTATCTGGGCGGTAAGTGCGTTAAGTTTATCATCATTGTGTTCCTAATATTATATGGCGTGTGTGGAGTGCTTTATTTGTTGTGAATGCCCTCAAAAGACGGCTGTTGGAAGCAGACGCGTAAAATGAGATGTATGCGCGATGGGTGTGTGCGTGACCTAGCGAACAGAACATTTACATGTTCTTGACGATCAAGACATCAGTGTCCGGAGATACATGAGATCGTGCAAGTTTCCCTAAAAACACAGGCTATCGGAACGTATGGTGAATCCCTGGATGTATCGGTACCATTCTTATCACATACACAGTTGAGCAAGTGGTGTCACTAGGGAATTCTTGGTGTAAAACAGCCGGCATAATTTTTGGCCTGCGTCAACATGATCTGATAGTGATAGTTGATGTGATACTTCATGTACTGTAATAGTGTATAATGATGTTTCATGAGATCAGTCGGGATTCGTAGGTCTGTAAGAATAGAACTATCGATTCTTAATATACATAATACTTAGTACATGTATGAATGGGAGCTATTATTTGTTTCTTCAAAATCCTTTTTTTTTTTTTCGAAAACAGAAAGCTTTTCCCATCTGTCAGTGTCACCATACATCAAGTTCACCAAATAGTCTGTTGCATCTGATCTTACATTACATGTGTACTGCAGGCCAGGATTTTTATTGAACTCAAGGGTCCTAGTTGTCTTAATGTATTAAAGAGTACAGTTTGCGTAGTTTGCCAGGAGGCATATTTTGAAACGGGTTGAACCACTTTTGTGTAATGACATTGTTTGATCTTTTCCTAACTGTCAGGTCTGCATGAATGCAGTGGCACCCGCAGTCAGTCTGGAGGGCGATGATCAAGAAATAACCACGGCCACCACGCGCTTGACCACCAACCACCAACATGCAGCCAATGGACACACAGCAGTCAATGTAGCCAACGGACACTCTGCCATCACTGTTGTAAGCGATGACGAACAGAGCCCCTCTAGTGAGGGCAACCCAGTCACCCATGCTTTAACCAATGCCTACTGTGACAGCGTAGAAAAACTCCCACAAGTCATCGAAGTTTCTGGGCGAAGTCGGGACGGCGGACCGGGTTCCGTGATGTTGGGCGGGAAGGTGTGGTTCGTGAAGGACGGTTGCGGCGTGACGTGCGCGGTGTTCACGTACCTGCTGGTCCTGTACGCAGAGTTCGTGGTGATGGGAGTTATCCTGTTCCCCTCCAACAGCCTGGTCTACAGTATCATCAACGCAGTCATCTTCAACTTCTTTGCATTCCTGGCTGTCGCCTCGCATGTGAAGGCCATGTTAACAGATCCAGTAAGCCTGTGATTTAGTATCAAATATATTTTCTGTATCAGAGAGGGTGAGCTAGCCTGGGTGCCATCCGAATTTGTAACGGCTCCCCCGAAAAAATCTTTGTTGTAGTACTTGTTTAGATTCTAAAATTAGCTCCCATTTTTCGGGGAGCCGTTACAAATTCGGATGGCACCCAGGCTAAGGGTGAGCTACATGTAGCTGTAAACTGGAACAGCTGCACTGGGATACAAAATATTATGCCACTTCCATCCCTGCACTGTGGCTGCACATTTTAGGAATTCCTCAGCTATTAGCTCTGATGGGATATGAAAATTAGAAAATTATCACCAAGTACAACGTAGATACAAATATCAATAAATCTTTGTGTCTTGTTAAGCTTTACATGAAATATGATGAAAATGATATTACTGGTAAATAGTCACAGAAATACATTTTTGGTCATATCAGTACATGTATGTGCTGGGACTTGATTTGTTGTAACATACATATTGTACTGTATACAGGGTGCCGTACCTAAAGGTAATGCTACTAAAGAGTACATTGAGGGACTGGGGCTGAAGCCAGGACAGGTCGTCTACAAATGTTCCAAATGCAGTAGCATCACACCGGAGAGGGCTCATCACTGCAGGTAACTTTAGAGTTCTATTACAGTGTATGTACTGTCCGCCTATTAACTACTCCATTATGTAAGTCCCAATGATAGAATCGTAGACCTTTGATACTTGTTAGTAGGTGTATGTGTACTCATTCTGTAATCAAGTGAAAAGAAAATTAAATTTTGTATTTCAATCTTTTCTATTTTCTAACAATGTGTTAGCCTCTGTTAACATGTGTCCTGCACTATCACTTAAAAAACCATAAGTTAAACTTAAAGAAACTAAAGATCAATTCAATTAGAAGTAACGCACAAAAAAAGCTTAATTACTTGATGCGATGCAATGAATGATTTGAATCAATGAAAAACAGCCACTGATTTTGTTGTCCAAACAAATGACTAAAATATCAGTATCTGTTGTTTTCGTTTTACACATTTAGGCTGCAGTAAGGGCTAAATTTCATTGTAATTTGCTTAGTTAGAAAATTACCCTTCCAGTCTGTCTATAGTTTTGGCAGCTCCACACAAAAAGAGGTTAATGTCATCAATACCGAAGTATACACTGACACATTTCAGACAGTGCCAACCCATATTCAGGCAATTTAGTCTAAATGGCAGGTCATCATTGCCCCATTGTAAGACCCATTTGGTTCTACATTTCCTTATAAGGGAATGTGCTGTTTTTGCAAAAATGCATCTCGTCTTTGAAAGCAATGGTCGTCAAATGGGGCATGCAATGTTATTGCTGTGATGTCGATTGATGTCAGAATGTTTTTGGAGCTGCTATGATAAAATATGGTAAACATAGTGTGTTATGCAAAAACTGTGGTGATACATGTAAATTCCACCCTTTCTAGCTATATGTGATTACTTTAATAAAGCGCTTTGTTTTCCATTTAGCAAACCTTTATGTGAGGCTTCAGTTATTGACCTACTTTTTTTACACGATGTACAATTGCAAAATGGCTAAAAAAAACAAAATGACAGAATGTCATAAAGTGAATGGACCTTATGGCAGGAGGATTCATTATGTTGTATTTCTGCTCTTGCAGCGTTTGCAGAAGATGCATTCGTAAGATGGACCACCACTGCCCCTGGGTCAACAACTGTGTGGGAGAGGGCAACCAGAAGTTCTTTGTTCTCTTTACTGTGAGTGACCATTTGATTCAGCTTCTTCTTGTCTTATAAGACATGATGGAAATTTTCTATGAGCTTGGACCATGTTTTTGAGCATTCCATAGATGTTGATTTGAGGTATACATGTGTACTAACTACATCACTGTGTTATACTGATAGTGATTATGATATGTTGCATTAGATTGTTGTAGGTTTTGGAAGATTTAGTGAGGTATTATGTTTTGAGCCTTGTCCACATTTCGGGTTTCTGTTTCAGATGTACATAGCAATCATCTCCCTGCATGCCCTGATCATGGCTGGCATCAAGTTCTTCGGCTGTATGGACTCACAATGGGAAGGTAGGTCAATGAACCGAGGAACATGAACAGCAGTGGCGTGAGGTTACCTTGTTCTGAAAGGTGCAATCTGTTCTTTAATTAAGGGAAATTGTATGGTTATTCTTTGGGAAATAAATAAAAAAAATGACAAGGTAAATAACCAAAACAAATGCAGTTTTACTTTTTGAAAAAAAAAGTGTTCTTCAAAATCTCATTTCAATGTGAACATATATATTGTCTTATAGCTTACAGTTTAAGTTTTGGTAACTCCAAACATGATACCAGTCTATACTTACAAGTTGAATGTGTCCTACTGGCCTCCTACATGTGTTTTGCTCTTGTTTTCAGCAGAATGCAGCAGGTTTTCTCCCCCAGCTACCATCATCATGATGATCTTCCTGGTGTTCGAGGGCTTGCTGTTTGCCATCTTCACTGCCGTCATGTGTGGTACCCAGCTGCACGGCATCTGCAATGATGAGACTGTGAGTGACTGTTGTCAATGACGAAATAGAATTGATTACCGTACATCTGAATAGATGTTATTCTGTGACTTGTGACGTCAAGGTTGATGCATGTCAATCTTCTATCTGCTATGTAAGGTGTGAAACGTAAGAAGACTTAAGTGACCACAACTGATTTTAAGAGATCCAGATCAGGAAAATTATTTGAATATTACAGGAGCTACAGGTGAAAGTATTTGGTAGAACTTACTCAATTTCTTCAAAACTGAAATTATGATAGTGTTGATGATAGTGAATGAACATGTACTAGTGTGAACATTTATACATAAACTGCACATGTCCACTAATGATCATGACTTGAGTTGCCCTTGTGAGTCCAACAGACCAAATATACATCAACATTAACCAACCTGGTGTTCCCGTCTTCAGGGAATTGAACAGCTGAAGAAGGAGTCTCCGTCTTGGGAGAAGAAAGGGAAGTGGATGAGCATCAAGGCCGTGTTCGGACACGACTTCTCGCTGGCCTGGTTCTCCCCCTTCAACCAACCTGACATCAACAGTGGCAAGAGTCCGCCCTATCTCTACCATGTTTAAAAACATGTCCTCACTACACCCACTGATATTGTTTAGAGCAAGGTGTCTGCTGAGGGATGGAAAAACACTGTTCAGTACAGTACTAGTACGGTGTTGTAATGGGAATAATAAGGTCAAAATGTCTGCATGACCATGAGTAGGTCACTTACCACATTTACCAGAATAATTGCACACCTCCAAGAAGCTTGTCCTTTTTTTGAAAGAAATGCATTCCTAGCCTAATTTATGCCTGCTAGGGGACATGTGTAATTTTGCACACAACTGATATGGGTGAATATGGAAAAAAGATACAATTTTCAGTGTAATTGAATTTGATGAACATGTAGCAAAAGCATCACAGCTACGCTTTATAAACAATTGGTTCATGCAGGAAAAGTTGCAATAGTTTCGTTTCTGAATCTTTTACAAGTTAGATCTATAGTCACTTGCAAAAAGATTTTTTGAATGCCATGCTTGTATTTTTACATGCTTTGGCTCCTTTAAAGTAAGATGGGAAGATAAGAAACAGCTACGCAGAAAACTTTTTCAACACTTATGTAGTAGAGTTAACTAATTTAAATTTGAATGTGTATAAAATGTATTTTCATCAATGTTTCAAGAACATAACATTGATAGAAAAGTACTGTACGATCAAAAATTGTTAGGACTGGTGATTCTATTTAGTTATTGTTGTGGAAAGTAGCAGTGATTAGCAATGTAGCAATGTCTAGCTATTTTTTGTGCTTTGTTACTAGTAACTTCTATACATTTTTACCAAGAATGTAACAGATCCAATATAACATGCACCAGCAAGAACTCTTGATGAAGACTTGTTTGGCAAAACAAGTGTGCTGGTCAAACTTTTGATACTTATGAAACGTAAAAACTTGCGTGGGCTGCATGGTACTTGTACTTAAAGCATTTCTGGCTGATAATTCCATAGTAGCAAAGTATTGAAATCTGTAATTGTGGTTGTGGACTTCTGTATTAAATTTTGTAAATAGATGGAATACTAGTAATAGTGTAGCTCAAAATGATAATCATATGCCCCAAGGTATTGACTGGTAAGATGGGTGGTGGAAGGTAAAATTATCATCAGGAGAATTGAACAATTGCACAACTGCTAATAATCCTTGAAAAGCAAGGGCTAAAGCGGCATCGAACAATTTGAAACCCGAAAGAAGATGAAAAACAAAGTACCAGAAAGCTGATGGATAAAAACGTGCACATTTTTGGCTCATGTGAACATTATGTCCACATTACGTGCTGCCAATCTCACATGATCGTATTCTCTACTCTGTCCTTGACTCTGACGTGAATCTACCTCTGCACAGTGTTGTCTTCAATAAGCGGCAAATTCCAGCTGCCTTTGTGTGTAGCTTCTTCTTGGGACTATTCCATTCAAAAAAGTTGTGGGGGAAATTCACTAAACTTCATTACCAAGACTATTAGTAATTTTTTCCCAATTAATGGTCTACGTCAGTTCTAGGAATTTATCAGTTACATACTACAATGTAGTACCTTTAATTATTCATATGATCCTCTCTTACAACTAGACAGTTTTTATTGCCCTTCCACTCTTTTCAAATGGAATAGCCCAAAGAAGACATGTAGTACTCATAGTCCTGTAGGTGACAGTGTAGCATTTCATATGTTAAGGTTGTTGGCAAGCTTGATGTTAAATACCTGTACATACATGTAGACTATAACTTTAGTGTTACTATCAATGTGACAAGCATGACTCTACTATTGTAAGTTGTAATGGTCTACGTGTAAAACTTGTGACTTGAGATTACAAATGAATGAGGTAAAATTCTTTCACCTTTGTGATTGGTACCCATTACCATGATTACCTGTATTTCCCAATGGAAGATGTTTGTAGTTTTTGCATCAATTCTACTATGTCCTGTGAATTCCAGGGTATACCGTAACTATTGGCATTGTCCTAGATCCTGGATGTAATGTTAGGAAACTTTGTAGGGCCATATTTTCTAATACAAATTGAAGTCACGTAAAGTTTGAATTACCTTGAAAACCAAATTTCTACTCTTCAAAGAGACACACTTTAACACTAATCAAGTCACTTGATTCAAACTTTCAAGTACAGTTAAAAATATGGTAACTAAGTACAATTCTCAATGCAGAGAGCCCATGATATGTAACTGAAACAACAGGAAACTTATCAAAAGTTTCTGAGGTGTTCTATATCGTTGGGATTGTGATATTGTTAATAGAACTTCTGAGCCTATTAATCTGAATTTGATATTTATTAAGAGTTATGACTTCAGCTTTTCTGCATGTTCAAAAATTTTACAGCTGTCAGAGTAGAAATGAAACGAGTGAGGATGTATATATAAAGAACAATGTACAGAAATTGAGTGAAGGATTTGAAGGGATATATTTGAATGTGTAACGGAGACTCGAATTTGATGATGACTATAGGAGTAGGTTTGGAACTATTCATTGAAACTTCAAATGAGCAGCATAGTATTCTAAGCAGTGGTTGTCTCAGAACATCTTCGGAATTTTGGAAAATTGACACAATTATTAAGATTTCAAATTTGCCAGCAATAATATCTCTTTTCACTGTTTTTCATAACATAGTTTACCAATATTCTGCAGAATACTTATACTTTTATAAACAGCTCCTTACACACAGAGATACTGTAGGCAGTACTTTGTTATGACAAGTATACTAGATCAGATAATTGCAGAATAACAGGTCACATTTTTTAAAAGTGCAACAGTGATAGAAGGAACTTTAAATTAATGTTTGCTGTGACATGTCAGGTATTGGGTCAGAAACTTAACTGTAAACTGCAGGTACAGCTTTCTATCCTGGGTTGCAGTTGGTTTGAAAGATGGTAGGATAAATGATCTGGGTGTGTAAAATACATGCTTCTTCAAATAATTCAATCTTTTGCTTTGAAGCAGTGCATGTTACACTACTTCTAATTAGTTTAGTTCTAGAATTTTAACTTCACCAATAAAAATCAAGTGGAACCATGCAGTGCTATATGTTAAGGATAAAATAGCAGACGTGTATTGATAACATATGCATTGGAGCTGTTCTTTCCATTGAAATCAATCAAGAATTATTTTGAAAGTACAGACATGAAATACATACAAAGGTGAAGGACTGTACATATCTGTTCAAATGTTGCTGCGAGTACTGTATTTTTTTTGCATAATGACTAAATGGGATGACTTTTAGAAAGATAGTTAAGACAGGAAATTGTCAGTACTTCAAATGTTTGGACATTAAATAAATAGATGTTCTGTCATCAATATGATACAGCTTCAATAAAGTTTAAAAGATATCAAAATCTGCTCTGCAGTTTGTAATTGTGGTGGGTAGTAGGCATGTGGTGAGTAGTAGGCATGTGGTGAGTAGTAGGCATGTGGTGAGTAGTAGGCATGTGGTGAGTAGTAGGCATGTGGTGAGTAGTAGGCATGTGGTGAGTAGTAGGCATGTGGTACTTCACATGGCAGCTTGAGGCATACAAAGTATTCATACATACCAGTAATTATCTACATTGTATTTGCACAATATACTACTGATGAAAATGGAACACACAAAAATATAGTGCATTTCATACATTATAATTGTGCTTTTTCGGATTATAGGAGCAATATATATATCATTCTATAAAAGAATCAAGGTATCAAAAAGTTTGTACAAGTGGAAAACCAAACATGTTAATGACACACTTAATGTGCATAAATTATGAGCTCACCTTTTTTTCTTACAACAATTGCAAACATTACATTCAGCACAATGTTGTTTCTCCCACAAATGGATAGTTCAAAGCTGTGAAACAAATACAGTACGTACATCGAGCATCTGCATCTTACAAGCTTTAATAACACTCTACCTAAACAGTAAATCGTATTTCTGTACAAAACCAGTGGCTTCTTTTACATTCTTATTTGCTTGCTTTAACTTCCTTCATCCATTATCTTGTCTCCACTAGCTTACTTAGTTATCAAATATCACCTCCATGTTTCAGTTATGTTGATAAACATAGCAAAGTTTTTTTAGCAATCTACACCTTCTCAAAGTCAATACCATGATAGAATCCACCAAAAATCATACCTAGTCATAGAAAAAAACTAACTACTTTTAATTGCTTACATATGATATTGTTGTGGATGCTGAAAACACATGATGCTGTCTACATTCTGTACAAATTAGCTTCTGCTTTGCAGGTAAGCATCTCTGGTGACAGAAAGCTCAGATTCTTATTGCTAGCCTGTCTGTTTACTTCTTGTTTTTCAACTCCTCAAACCTGCGCGTTAGGTCATCAAAGTCTACGTCATCCCCCCCAGCAGAGGCTCCACCAATGGTGTTGCCCGGGTTGGGGAAGCTGTTTGACGGGACACACGGCAAGTCTGGCAGACTGTCTGTGTTTGTGGGCGGGGCACTTGGTGCAGGCGGCATGGGCATGGGCGGGTTGACTGGTGGAATGTATGCTGCAGCATTTGGTGGGTATGCAGGATCGTTGGCCACTGTGTTATACGCTGGTGCCTGAAAAAAGGGAAACAAGTTTTACATTAAAACTAACATTTTTTCAAACTTAAAAAACAGGTTTAAGTTTCTTTTCTCAACATGATCTAATAGCTGCACCACACCATAATGAGCACATTTAGCATTATGATGAAGCAGCTGTAAAATGCTTTGATTTGATGTGACAAGCAAATCAGCCAGGTCTTGATTTGAGGTACAAATTGCAAATTCACTGCATTTGCTAAACCAACAGATCATACCATCTATATCAACAATGGTTGAGATACATGATTTCAATTTTCCACCAATATAAAACCTCCACCAATTGAAGCACTTTACATTATTCTACAACTTACAGGTGTGGAAGGGTTGCCAACAGGTGCTTGGGTAGGGAGTGGAGGAGGCTGCTTGGCACTAGGCGCCTGTGAGATACAGCACTAAATGTCACTATGGTGATTGAGCATGCAAGCCGTGCACTTAAGTTTGAAGCAACAGACTACAGGTGCAAACATACACACACACATGACAACAGGAATTGGACAACAACATTATGGAAACAGTGGTTAGGACACATGCATGTGTCTGTGAGGGGACAAGCAAGCATTTCAGCAATGGTGATATTTGAAGTGCATAATATAAACACACAATGAAAACAATGGTAACATACTGACTACAATTTATACTTTTAGTCAACAATCAAAGCTGTGTATTTACTGCAATGGATAAAGTTATCAAAATAATGGAATAGTAAATAGTTGTGAAGTCTGCATCATGAGAAATTTCAGCCACAAAGGAAAAAATGTCATTACATGCCCACTTTTAACATCTGATTCAGTATGTCCCACTTTAACGTTTGTTTCCACATGTTACCGTTCACAATCCACCAGACTGTTATTACATGCATTTTTCTACCATGCACAACTAACAGGGCCTTGCTGTCCAGACATGGCTGGTGTGTGGGTAGGTTGGGTTTGTTGTGCCCTATTGTAGTGGTGGGGAGGAGGGTGCCAGTTACTCGGTGGGTTAAAGGGGGTGAGCTAGTTCTAATTTATAAATGTGGTTAAGGCAGGTAATGGTGCTTAAGGTAGACATCTTGATACATTTATGCTGGAAAGAGAGTTTGTATCATAGACTGCAACAAAAAGATCAAATGAAGTTTTACTTGAAGCTCAAACTACAAAGTATTTCTAAAAATAAATCAAACATTTCAGCCGATCAAATTTTCCCTATTTCAGTGACATAACAATCTAGAGCTTGATCTACCTGTGACAGGTCTCCATATAGCAACTCAGGCTTGTATAATGAATGGAGTATTGTTGTAAGAAAGACATTCACTTCAGTATTGTACATCATAAAGAACATTCCAACATTTGATTCAATTAGATTTAATTAGATTGCACAACAATGAGCATCAGAATACCCTATTCATTGTATGGCAAGTTGTCATAACTTATGTTCATCAAAATTATTTTCCTGTTTGATTACAGTATGCTATAAGTAATTGTCCTGTGTTAAAAGCAAATAGGAATTTCATATGTATCAATAATGAGCACCAAATACAACAGGCAAATACAATGTAATAATGCCTTTGCCATTAGTTGTTCTATAGGGTTGTAGTTGCAGATATTCTACTCTATGCATCTTGGCTACCTACTAATGGTAAAAAGAAATTGTTATGCAATAGCAAAAGGTTAGAATGAGGTGGGGAGAAAAAATAAGGAAACAGGTTAGAACTTGTTAAGATGCTACTGTGCACAATGAGCTCTGCTGCACCCAAATCCCTGGAAACTTTCCCCACACCTGTGGTGCCTGTGGAAGTCCACCCGAGGGCCCTCCCAGTCTGCCAGCAGCCTCAAGCTCCTTCTGATAGGCTAGGTAGTCGTCTGGTGTCATCCTAGGCTGCTGTATCAATCATTACATGTACAAAGGTTTCATCAAGATAAGTGAAGGCGTGTAAGGGTTTCCCTACTTTGATCTGCCTTAAATGAATATTTAATTTAGTAACAAAACCAATGATCTTGGAGCAGTCACCCACAATTTAATGTGAATGTCTCTTCTTGCTTTGTGAATATTTCTGTTGTGTAGAAGAATGTTACCCTAGCCTGTACCTTGGAGAGCTTTACTACCATATAATGTTGTGTTTACCCTTATTTCTTCACCACTTGATGAAATCTGGGAGGGGTTGGGTGGAGTCATGGACATGTTAGTTTATGAGTTTGAGGTTAGGCCTACCTCAACCATCACCAACTGCCAACCATGTAGGTCTCATTGGAAGCCAATCTAAGCTATGTGTATACTTAATATGTGCAAGATACTAGTCTTAGAGACTTGCTCATGCATCTATCTTTACTTTCCCTTAAGATCTTGCTTATATGTAGAAGTATAACCACAACATCAATATTTATGTAGTGCAAATTGAACAAAAGCTTCATTCAAAAAGTCGAAATGATCGTTAATGCCTATTGGAAAATAAAGATAGATGCATTATCTAACAAGCTCAGAAATAACTATAATAGGCACTATGCTTGAACACAATGCTGACAGAAATACCTGTGGGGGTGGATAGTTGAATGGTTGGAGGGCTGGGCCCTGTGCAGGGAGGGGGGGTGCAGGCATGCCACCACCACCACCACCACCAGAACCCCCTGGTCCCTTCTTGTCATCGATGTCTAAGTTCAGGAGGTCATCTGCTGACATTGGGATTTCTGCATCCTAAAGCAATATACAAAACAGACATTTATTACATCATCATCAGCCGACCATATTGGTCGGGGTTACTAGTATATCACCCCTTACGAGGTGACATACCCTTTCGTTAGATTAATACAAGACGGGGTTTGCAAGGCCTCCGTCCGGGGTATAGTCACCATGTGGCTGATACGGAACAGAGGTTCACCAGGCTTCCATCCGGGTGATTTGAAGCGAATCACCAACTCCATAGAGTAGACATTTATTACAACATACTCATAATGTTACTATTATGTTAGGCAAAAACATTTCAAAGGTGAACAGTATATTTTGGTTTAATATGACAAACCTTCTAATATAATGAAAATGAGACTGTATATTGATGTTTCATTTCAGTTCAGTTTGGGATGGCCCAGAAACCAAGACCATTGATGTATACAAGCTAGAAAGCAAAATTCTAACTGTACTTAGTACATGTTACGGTAAATTTACTCACCATCATAACAGTAGGGTCAGGCTCAAACAGAACGTTGTTAGCCTTTGCAATCTCGATAAGGTACCGTTCTACCAGGATACGGGGTGGGGCTTGCTCACTCATCTTGTGCATCAACTGTAATAATGGTAATCCCACAACAGCAACAGTCATCACAAGTTTTATTTCACCTTTAATACTCTTAGACAACCACTATGTTGAGCATCTTTTTAAGGCAAGAATGAAGAAAGTTAAAGATCACTACTAGATGTGGAAGTTACCTTACTTGTAACTTTCCATATTAGACTGATGCAAACAATGTTGCTGTATTCGTAACTGAATATACTAGTACACCAAAACATTAAAAATAGTTTCTGGAGCAACAGTTTTGCCCCATCACTGAAATATAGTTCACCTATTATTCTAATTGGTTAGACTTACCCTTTCATTGACAGAGGCAATCTCATTGTTACGACACAGCTTCCCAAACTCTTTCCCATACTTAGCACACAGTTGGTCAGAGACCTGGAACACAATGTTAAGGGCAATCATCAGTCTCTGTTTTGGAACTTCTTGCAAACAATGGAACAAAATCATTGACTATGTTGGTCTGCTGCTTTTTTGATACACTCTTCATTCAAACTTCTTTTAAGTCACTAAAATGACATTCTCAGTACTGTCATTAGCTTGCACAAGTTTTGACTGTTATTTCAAACATATACAAGCTGACATTTTATACAGCATAAGTTCAATGAACATGTTCTCTTAACACTCACCACTTTCAACTCTTGTACTTCTGTACTCATGCGAGGAGCCGCCCAGATCAGTGTAGACACTGCTTCCTGAAGTCCTTGTTCTACAGTTCTGAATAAGATTGACAGTAAATGTTTAAGTTTAGCAATGCCGACACAAACTGTCACAAACTTCAAAAGCAAGTAGTTGGCACAGACTGCTCTTACATGTAGCTATTGCTATACAAAAGAAGGAAGCACAAGCACAGGGTAATATACATTGTCCTGACTACTTACTTCATGCTCTCGATAAGACCAAATCGAGCAAGGAGCAGATCACAGTACATCTCAATCAACTCCATGGCCTCGACTAGGTAATCTTCTCGGATGATGTGCTCCACCTGGTGACAGATGTATGAATGTCAGTAACTGTAAAGTACTGCATTTTTACTGTCTTTGAAAGTAATTCTTTATTTATTGATCGAAATTACAATTCATTTCTACACTTCATTACAAGTGTAAATATCAATGGTAGCAGGGTAAATGTAGAACAACGCAGAACAAGTTCCGTTCATGAGGAAGGACCAAATTTCAATGACCAGCTACCCACCCTTATCCTGGCTCTTTCATCTTTCCCATTGGCCAGGTACTCAGCGATCTCCTTCCGGGCCTTCTGTGCCAATTCAGCTGATCAGATGAAAAGAAAACAGCATTATTCTAACAACTTAGATAACCTAGACAAATTAGCATATTTCCTAGACATTACATGTAATTATATTATCTATCTTTGCAGACTTGCTGAGCTCCCACTTCCCAAAGAGGCAAACCATCAAGAAAACAAAGATGTGACATCTGTACATATAAGTTTTAAATCTCATTTACGTCAATGAATGACCACCTGCATGTATTTTTATAAGGAGATACAGGTAGACTAAGCAAGGACATTACTAAGCAAGCTCCTCAACTCAGGCTCTGTGCTTGATGAATTATCTGGTACATGTAACGTTACATACTTTTTTGGTCTCTGTAATACAGAGATACTAACTGTAGTAAAATTACAGGTTACGTAAAACTTTGGAAAAGATACTTGCTTTTCTTTTTCTCCAACAGCTTCAGACGGTTGATGGACAACCGAAGGTTTGTCTTCAGCTTGTTCCCTCTGAATCCTCCACCAAACATTGTGCTGTACCCTGGTCAGGAAAAAAGGTCTGACTGAGAGAACTTAAGAGAATGTAAATTTATGCAAGGACATTATACACAGATATAATGTCCTTGATTTATGTAATTCATAAGAGAGTCTTTGCTTACAACTATGTAAAAAAAAATCTATGTATGCTCCTGATGGATACACAAATCCTAACAACATTATCAACATTATTTCTTCAAGACTGTCAATGCTGTTACAAACCACTGCAAGATAATAATTTATCTTAATCTTATGACAAACCTACAATGGATAGATTTAGAGGACATGTGAAATTATAATATTGTAACAGTGCTAACTGACCATGCTAAATCGTCGTGCGACCTTTTAGTGTAGTGGTTAGCATTGGTGACCGCCAAGCGGACAACTCGGGTTCGATTCCCGGTTGTGACATGCTCGCCCCTTTCGGTTTTTACAGTGGCGCCCAACGTGGGGCTCGAACCCACGACCCTGGGATTAAGAGTCCCATGCTCTACCGACTGAGCTAGCCAATATCACATTACATGACTTGAAGATAAACATACAAAACCGACCTCAAACTATAAGATTTTCTAACACAAATGATAGCTTTGAGTAGGTAATGTACTATATTATGTAGTACCAGGTACAGGCGTAACTGCTGACCAGCTAGCCCGTGTTGCTGTGAGTCATGATCAGCTGAACTTCTTCCAAAGCAAGCAAAAATTCTCAAAGGTTCTGAAAAACATCGATTTCATCGGAACTATCTGAGTGACAGGACCTTACCTTTATTCCCTGGCTCCTCTAAGCTTCAAATGCGCGATGCAGCCGAACGCCTTGTTGACAGCAAGGTTATGTAGACTGTAAAACTCACCTGTTTCTGTGTTTTTATGCTGTACTGTGCTGCACTTCTGGTACGCTGAGTCTATTTCCGGTTTCTGTGCTGCGCATGCGTCATCTGGCGCAGTCAGTATCACATGAATCACGTGACCAAATCGTCATTGCTATATTTGGAACAGGCAGTGTCTCACACCGACGTTCGGGAAAGTATTTCGAAAATGGCGGCGTTTATGTCGTGGCACGAATGACGCAGACAAACGCTGACGTTTCCTTTCTAACCGAGTCACCGAATACGCTGTCATCCGGCGTGGAGAAGGAAGTGTAAGTTTAGTTTACGAGACGGCGAGCTCGTGCGAGTCTGGCTGGGGGAAAGATGGAGTCGGCACCATTTGCGTTTGTGAAGCCACAGGCTCATTCATCCCAGAGCAAGAAAACAACAAGGACACATGGTGGTGGTGGGAAGGACTCGACACTCAACGCCATGAGACGCTCTCAGCTCAGCAGAACCAGGAGTGAGACGAGGATTTTTGGTCAAGTTCAAGGGTTTCAAAAACCGAAACTGAACGATGTTCCCCTCAGCAGTGCCAAAATCACCCAGTTCAAAGCCATGGAAGAAAGGGGAAGTGTGGCTGCTCACCAAGACAGGCTGTCTGCACAGGAGAGATCCAAAACTTCACAGACAAATCAAATTAATGCTGAATACCAAGTTCAGGTAGAGCCTCACCTAAACCACCGAGCAGCATCCTATCCTGACTTCAGCTACTCTACTCCACCACGAGACGTCCATAATTTTCAGATGCAGGTTTACCCAACACCAAACTCTAAGTTTTCATCCCAACACTCCACTGTTGTGCCTGTTCCTGAGGACTTCGACTATGCTCCGGTGGACTTCACCATAGCCAGATCAGCTATCCCACCAGTACCTTTGAGTACAGCCATAGCCATACCACCTGTGCAGAGTAGCAGTAT